AGTCACGTTCATTTGCAAGCATTCATAGCAAATGGCATGTTTACTTTGGAATTGCTCATATAATGTTTAGAGGAATGGATGTCTTCACCTCTAAAGAGACCAGAGGAAGAACAGACAAGGAAATTAAAGGCAGATTTTTGGCATGGTTCCTTTCATAACTTATATTGATTCTGTTTCCACAAGGCAAGACTATGTTTGGAGCAGGAGCCCTGGGTAGAATGAATTACAATAATAAGGGGGGGACCTGGAGGAGAAAAGGGTACAGATGGAGAAATGAAGACCCTGAACTTTATAGCTGAGAGGGCTAAAATTATTAGATGCAGAATGGGACATTTATATTAAATAAACTGAAAGGCAGCAGAAAAAAGTCAATTCTAAGTGCAGGCTTTACTGAAATTCCATCTACTTTATGGATAGGAACTATGAGAATGAATTTTAAGAAGGTTGGAGTCAGCCCATTCTACTTTCACCAAGAAGTTTTAATTTTAATTCCAACTCTCAAAGACATTTGAAAAAATTGTTACCAGCTGCTTACTGTAGAATCCTCAATCAGTTATTAGAAATGCTTGATTTCTCTCAGATTATTGAACATTGGTCCTATTTGCAGTTATCATAGAAATATAGCTAACAACATCATAACTAAAAATATATTACCTTCAATTGGGGCTGCTAATTAATACCAGCACCTAGATTCTGGATATGGTGGCAGACCTAACAGCGTTGGCAAACTAGGTTGACAAATTCTCGTCTTCTGTAGCTTTCCATCATTTGGCCCTCTTCTGATTATAGAAATGAGATTCTATTAAATTATCTCAAAGCAGCAGTGCTCTTTTTGTAAAAAAAAAAAAAAAGGTGCTGGAACTCATACAACTCGCCTTGCCTACCTTGCAAGGTTTATCTTTGTAGTTGAAAAAAAAAACCTTCAATTTTTAGTTTATCTAAAAGACTAGGATTTTGTTCAAGGTAAGTTAATACTATCAATGCTACCATGCACTGTGTGGCTTTAAATTACAAGAAGGCATTTTATTAATCTTTTGGGACATTTACCACTGGCACACCCATTTAGTTTAATGAGTGGAAATGTCAGCTTTCTATGTGGAGTGAAATTGGCCCAATAAAACAAAATTTGGTTGCTTGTAAAAGATTGAATTATTTTTAAGAAGTTGTCAAACAAGTTGGAAAAATTTACATTTGGAGTTTAATATGGATATTGACTTGAAACAAATTAAAGTTGAAACTTTGTCAGTGAAGAGATTACTTTTAATTTAGCTTTAAATTAAACCCAATTTAATAAATAGATCTGATTAAACCTCCTACTGTAGATTTACCTTTACATCTGACCAATACCTAATTAATATATATTATTATTAATAATACTTCCAAATCACAAGGCAGTGGCTTTATTCTTATTCTTCCCCTCTGCAGTTTGAATATAAAGCATAAAAGACTAAAAAAAGATTTTCGTAGACATCTCAGGAAACTGAAACAGCAAAGTTTTGCTGTCGGGCAAGTTCCCACACCAGCCGCCTTTCTTTCCTCTCGCTTTGCCTCTTTTTAACCTCACACACACCCCACCTTCTGTAACGGAAGGCAAAAGGCTCATTCACCCTCTCATGAAAGATGGCCTCCATGTTTATGTGTCTCCCACCGCCATCATCGGCTTCTACACCACATGGTCCAACCCAGCCAATCAAGCCATGCTCTGGCTGTGGTGCTCTGGCTGTGGTGCTCCGGCGCCTCATGGCTCCTCCTAGAAGAGGCAAACAGTGGCGGAGGGGACCCAGCTCGCACCGTACCACCAGCGGGGCATTTTTAAAAACAAACGAGGATAAGGAGGGCAACAATAAGAAAAGAACACAACTTTGGAAAATCCATTAAAAAAAAACGTGCCGGAATGCATTCCGGTGCATTCTATGACAAAAAAAGCCCTGCAGCTAGCTACCATCCATCAGCATTAATAATCACTTTATTGAGCAACAGACTTAGTGACTTCTAGGACTGTCAGAGTTAGAGCATGTGTGTGACGCAAATGGGGTAGGGCTAGCACTTCTGTGATACTTGCTAGCCCTGCCCCATTCTTGTGCACAGTGCCCTGTTTCTGCGCCCTGAGGCACGGCAGCATCCTGTTTTTGTGCTCCTTGGCGTGGTGGAGTTCTGTTTTTGCACCCCATGGTGCGGTGTTGGCCCGTTTTTGCACCGCACAACATGGTATCCTATTTTCGTGCCCCCCGAGTGATATCTTTAAGAAAACTGAAGCTGATAAATTTCTTTGTTAATATTATTCTCTGAGATAATATTTTTACTTTCTTAATATTTCCCAAAGGTACGGTTAAACCAGATTCATAATAATTTGTTTATTTGTAGAATTTGCTCCTACATCACACTACCAGCATAAATGCTAACAAATAAAAATCAAATTGTTTGTATGCCCAATTAAAGCTAATGACTAATTTCAGAAAGCTGAAGAGCTTTGTTTAATCTCATCTATAAAATCAAAATAAGACACCCAGTAATTTGGTGGAGCTTTCACTCTAATAAATTGTACATGGGTTTGCAGTTATCCCAATAAAGTTTGTAGAGTTTACAAGGTGATGTCAAGTGTTTATATTTTTATGATAAAGATTTTAATAAGTACATTGGCTCCTCTGAATATATTGTAAAACCAAGAATCTCTTTTTGTTGAAGCTATGAATTTGCCTAGACAGGAAAATCCATAAGGGAATTCAGTTAAGATGATGGCCATGATGCATACAATCATTTATGTGCATTGATCATGTGACACATGTAAAAAAGGCAGAGTTTCAGTTGTGTGGTCTCAGCTTTCATCTTGACATTTTTACTCTTGCTTATTAGGCAGGTGGCCTAAATTCCATTGTTATAAAAACTTTCTCCAGCCAAGGGGCCTCAGGGTATTTTGGCTTCAAGTACATTATCTTTTCGGGCTGAGAAGTGTAATCCTGGCATAAGTAGATGCTAGCTGGGGAAGCTAGCATGCTAACTGAGGACTTTTGAGAACTGAAGTCCCTACGTCTTAGGGTTGCCACACTTGAAAAAAGGGTTGCCACACTTGAAAAACATAATGCACTAGACCATTATGCAAGAATGCAGAATTGCTGCTGGCTGTGTGCATGTTTTTTAAAATCACTCAGTTGATATTTAGTAAGTAGAATTTGGCTCCATGGCAATCAGGTGAATCTTGTCATAATAGCAGTGGTGGAATTCAGCCAGTTCGCACCACTTCGGCAGAACCAGTAGCTAATTTTTTGTTGCCCAGGCCCAGAATGGATTTCCGGAAGCAGTATCCACACAGAGTACCGGTTGTTCACATATTTGAATCCCACCACTGCATAATAGGATTTATTTGTGGAAATCTTAACCTTTTTATAATAGCCCTTTTTGAAATCCAGCATATATCAACCACTCCAATAAAAACATTGTGTAAAAGTATCTGCAATATCCAGGTGAGAGAAAAAAGTATCCAGGTGAGAGATAAAGAAAGTTGGACTTTTGGAGGAGAATGCAGTTATAGCTAATCCTCAACTTACAGCTATTTGTTCACAGGCTCTTCGAAGTTATGATTGTTGAAAAAACGAACTTATAATTGGTTTCTGAAGTTACAGACATTGCAGTGCCTCGTCCCCCCTGCAGTCACATGATCAAAATTCAGGCACTTGTCAGCCTGGCCACAGGGCAGTGAATAGGGCTAAGCTGGAATAATTTGGAGGGGCTGCTGGGATGGCCAAGTGATGCAGTCCAGTGTATGGGAGCAGCCAGTGCACAAGGGAAGACATGATAATTACTCTCTGTGAGAAGTAAATTGAAAAGATCAATAGTCTGTACTAAGATCAAGGATTCATGTCTGATTTCTAAGTAATCATAGAAAACATTGGACATCTTTTCCTTTTTGGACTTTTTCTACCTCCTTAAGTGTTATTCAGGCATTGATTAGTCAAGTACTCAAAACATGATCTGGGAATTTCCAAATATTTCTGTCTTTTTGTATTCATCATATAGACATCTCATGCTGTAGTTACATACCAAAGCCCCTTTCTTCACATATGTCTCTTCACGTTTGTGAAGCCTCTAGAGGGCTAGAAAGGACAAAGCAAACTAGAAGTGAAGTCCACAAGACAAAAGTAGTATTCTTGGGAAAGAAAAATCTGGCTCCACTGGGGTTTCTGGATGGAATAGCCCTGCCTCTGAAAGAGCTGGGATGTAGTTTAGGATTCTTCTGGGTTGGCAAGTGCTAGATAGAGAACTTGACAAGGAGAACCTTTGCCTATCTGGGGCTGGGGGCACTTCTTGGACCATCGATTCATGTACACACCACCTCAAGGTAATACAGTTGGAAAATTGTCTACTGGAGATACATTTAAAGCTACCAATAAAATGTAGTACAATTAGTCACTTGTTGGCAGTCGAGACTGAATAATGCAGTAGAATTCTTTAATTGTAGGTACAGCACTGGGTAACAGGAGTTTTCTGAGCACAATTCAGAGTGATAGCTTTCACCTGAATGGAAATGTTGTGGGCCTGACCATCTCATTGTTGAACTTTAGATAGTCTTTTTGGCATTTGGGATCTCAGTGGTTGAGTATGGGTTCACTGGCATTTTAAACAATAAACAATATTAGTATTCTAATATCATGATTTCAATATTTAAAACAATATTAATATTTTAATATTGTGGTTTCAATAACTTTTTCAATAATTAAATTTGTGGGGACTTTTATGATATTGCCTTTATTATGTTTTATTGGATATGAACTATGTGCGTCCTGTGATGGAGCAGTAGATAAATCTTTGCAATAAATACATGAATCAATGGCAGTTGAATACAGAACTGTGAGAAATGGCAACGGCACAGCAGTTTTCTTCTCTGTCCACACATTTTATAAATTATATGTCATTGGATATTCTGTGGGTTTGGTTTACTCAAGTGGAAAGCTCTGCATATTTGCCTTCTCTGGAAAATAAGATCTCCTTTTCTTATTCCACAGGCCCATAGAATTTGGTGCAGAATAAGGCTAAAGAGATTTCCTGTGGCTGGTTACTGCTTCTTGCTTGCATTATCTGTGATCACTTTTACAAGCTTCTGTCCTACATCCTTGAGCAAGTCCAAAGATTTGAATTTCCAGCATTTGCCTAGGGAGATGCGTCATATGAAACCTGCCCTTTCTAAGCATCTGCAGACAAATTTCACTATCCCTTTTGTCCAACAGCAACCACATTTTAGCCTTGGCAAATGGACTCATGCACAGGGAAAGCAACCCCTTTCAAATCCTAGTCCAGTTTGCAAACAGAAATGCCTGCTGCACAGACAGAGTGGATTAAGTGGTAAAGGTTTTAACAAAAGGAGAAATTTCCCTCTCCGGATTAAAAACCATAACACTGCAGCAGAAAATGACCTTGGCCTTGGCAGAAGACTCCAACATGAAGAGTATCCTTCCAGGTCTAATGGGAAAAAAAGCAGCTTTGATATGACTTTGACTCTAAAGGATGTTGGAAGAGACCTGAGCTTCTCACTGCACCCAAGCAAGAAGGAGGTGAATTGGAAATGGCAGAGGCAGTTAGCCCCCTTTCTACTTCCTTTACAAGATGAAAAGCCTGGAGCCTTTTTATTTCTTAAGGACACTCCTCTAAGTCAGCTCACTTTATCACAGGAGCAATGTAAGCCAGATGCACAGGCAGCTAGTGCTGCCTGCCAATCCTCAGATTTAATCAAAACACTTATCTCAAACAAACAATCCTTCCAGATCACAACCAACACTCAGGAACAGAGGGATAATGCTCATTTCCATAATCTTCAGAGACCTTATGTTTGGAATGCAGATGAAGGGGAGCTGCAAAAATCAGAACAATGCAAAAACTTGTGGTACAATGATCTTAGTTTGAAAAAGGGGAACAGGCTGAGGTTTGCTGAGGAAAACCTTCCATGGTTCACTCCAGATGATGTGGAAAAAATGAGGCTTATGGCCAATGGTACAGTGGTAAAGAAGGACCGAATTCCTGGCCACGGGCAAATAATTAGAGTTGGTCTGTCATATAATCAAGATGCCCCTTTTCAAGACTCCCAAAGTTTGTGTTTGAATGGGCTGTGTGGTTTAATCAAAAGGTCCACTGATCTCTATGAGGTTCTTGCATTCCACTTGGACAGAATTTTGGGGCTCCGCCGGAGCTTACCTGTGGTGGCCAGGAGATTTTGCAGCCACTTACTACCTTACAAGTACACCAATGGTGCTATTAGACCCATTGTATGGTGGGCACCAGATATACAGCACTTGAATGATTCAAATAATGATCAGAACTCCTTTACTATAAGATGGCTGCAGTACCAGGACTTATTGCAACAACGGTGTGGCATGGAAGATTCCAGAACATCACTTGGGAAAGCTCCTTGTTTAACTGTCCTACATTCTGAATGGGCTAAATTGGCACTCTTTGATTTTCTTCTGCAGGTAGACTGGTGGTAGATCAATGTTTTGGATAGGAGTCAAGATACAATACAATACAAAACTTTGCAATGTGTAACAAAAGTGTCACCAAATCTGATTATATACAAAGGATACTCCATCAAGTTCATGATAGGAAGGGGTTCACACTAGTCTTCAATTCCAAATGGTAACTGATTCTAATTTAATGAAGAATGGTTTACACATAATATAATATCTCAGGATTTAGGGATGCATTGTTGAGTTTATAATAATTTAAAGAGTATTTAATAATTAATTGGTAAATTAGTATGCAATTAATATGTGCTATAATTTTAGTTGACTCATTATAATAATAGAATTCCATGTTTCAGAGTTCAGAGTTTGGAAATAATTTCTGATTTTACATTCATGGGCTACCTAATTGTAGAAATCTGTCCTTTGATACGCAACGTGATGTGTCTTTTCACATTATTTAGTAGTTTTAATTAATGAAACACATGGTGGAGATCTATCAGTGACCAATTCAACCTACGACACAATGAAATCTGGAGTTCTTAAATAGCCTGCAGAAAACCATTTCATACATTCCATATTCAAGCAGTAGAAACCTGGTTTCCAATCTCCTCCTTAGTTCACAGAATTATTAGGAAAGTAGAAATGTACTAAATAAAAACAACAGACACACAAACATAAATACAGTAGTTTTGAAAACACTAGGAATGCTCCCTTGTTTTGACTTTCATGAATATTCTATTCATATAACTAATTTAGTCTTTTTCTCTCAAAGTGCACCATTATTTCTGCTAAGTTGTTATTAAATGGATAAATAAAATTAGTTGGAAAGTATAAGGATAGCTTATATTTTGGTAGAATTAGTAACAGAAAGATTTTTATTCTGTGTTTTGATCACAGTAATATTTAGGATGCCTTACAAAAAAATCTTAAAGATATCAGAGTACAAACACACAATATAAATTCAAGCAGCACACATAAAACCAAATAGAAAAAACTAAATAGAATATTTTTCCCTTTTTTAAAAAACGCATCTCATCTGCTCTTGGCCCTCAGTTAAAATTTCTAAATCCAAATTTAATTTGTATAGTGTTAATTAATTTATCTTTAAAATAACATTTTAGTTATCACTTGTTACTAATTATTATAATTTCTATTATGAATGCAGAAAAACTGAATGCAAGTTAAAGCTTTTCTCACATGTTCACCCATCCATCCAATTGTGTGGCACTGTAAGTTGTTTTTGAAACCTACAAATGCTTCAAAACCCATTTACACTCTGGCATAATGAATTGCTTTCAGCATATTAAGCATGAAATCTTTGTTCAAGTTGAAGTATGCAGATGATAATTCCAAACTTGTAGAAATAGGGAGGAAAAAACCCAGTGTTCTGCTAATTTGAATTTTTACAAACCATCTTGATTTTTTTTTTTTTACTTCTTTATGGATGCTCCTGATTAGATTGATGCTGGTGAGCACTGGAAAAACAACTTGATTTAATCTAATTTTCAGAAAGCCAGTTTAACACAGGCCTATTAGCATTGTTGCTACTTTTCTATGGGATCATTTTCTTGCATAAAATTAAGTATACAGCATCAATATAAAGCAATATGTTTATAGGCTATAGCTGTAGTACCCAATGGTCCCTTCTGTGATTAAGAGCTGGGAAAGTAGCAACTATAAGATCTTTGGAATTCTATCTGCTGATGAGCTGAATCTTATATTGCATCATTTCCATGATCCTGGAAATGAATTAGCCCCAGCTAGAAAAAGCATATATTACAATGATGCCATCATATTATTCTTCATCCTTTCTTCTGAAAAAGTAGTAATTCTTAGATCAAGATGCAAACTTTTTGATTTCTTATGCTATCCTGGAAAATGCTGTACTTGGTGGATTAAACAGGCAAGCATCCTGTATGCTGGGCTCTCAAATGTTGTAGGTCATGATAGTTTTTCTATAATAGAGAAGCTTTTAAGGACAAAAATTGGTTTGCAGAGATTTGCAGAGCTTCTTCAAGCAGACAATCTTACAAGAATTCTACTGAGACCAGCTCATATTTTTACTCCTAAATGTTACTGAATAAATTATTATAATGTGTTCATAAAAATGTGAAGTCACAGCTGCCAGTTCTTTAGCTGGTGATGACCTTCATGCACATTGAGTTCTTCCCAAGAACCCAGGATATTGTAATGTATTGACATAGTATATATATGTACTTTATTATTATTTTACTTATTGAGGAATAACAGTTTAAGAAACAAAAGGAATTGCATCTTTGACTGATATATTTAAGAGATGTGAGTTCCAGTCAGGATCTTAAGAATTATCTAAGTAATTATCTTAATGTTATAACTTCCTCCTCCTTCTCCCCCTTCCCCCCAAAACTAACTGAATTGATTGGAATCATCCTACAACTCCTCACACCCCACAAAAAGACTTATTGAGCTTTGATGGCACAGTGGTTACAATGCATATTGCAGGAAAACTCTTCCCACAGCCTGGAATTTGATTCTGATGGGCTCAAGGTTGATTCAGCTTTTCATCTTTCCAAGGTTGGTAAAATAAGGTCCCACAGTGTTGGGGGCAATATGCTGTCTCTGTAAACTGCCTGGAGAATATTGTAAACTGCTATGGGGCAGTATATAAATCTAAATACTATTGCTATATTGCTAATATTTTTCTGCTGTGAGTTACTAATAAAATTGCAATTGTTCTGCACACAGCTCTCTGCATGGATAAGATTTTCAGGTGAGAAAAAAAAAGCTTCCGAAGTGTGTGGCTTTAAATAGCGTTACTTAAAAAAAAACCCCAGATATTTCAGCCTTTCATGTTAAATAATACAAGGTACAAAAAGAAGCAGTTTTGTGTTTGCCTCTTCAGCTTAATTACTTTGGTTTCAAGATGTTTGATGCAGTACCTCTTCTTGTGAGAAGGGCAGACATGCCTCTGAATACTCAACCACCAAATTCATCAGGAGTTCATTTTTTGTGCAGTTATAAAAGACAAGAAATCACAAACTAGTTTCAGGCTTCTTATCTAAAACATCTAGGAAGCCTACAATACTTAGTTTCCATTCAAACGGATGCTGCAGGTGTGCTCTTGCAAAGTTCCCCCCTCCTTTTGCCTTTATGCTATAGTTACTTCAGTAAATTAAACATATTTCTAAAAACAATTAATAGGCAATGTTAAAACAAAGCAGCCATAGAACATGGAAAAGATAAAAAGTTCTGCCTTTGGGATTTTTTTTGTCCCTTTTGTGCTTAAAATGGCTTCCAATCTCTTTATGATTTTTTTGTTCTTCAGAAAGCAGTTGGGGGGTGCTGCTGGAAGGGAAATGGATAAACAGACCTTTCTCTCTAATGTTTCTTTACTTTTACCTCCCTTGCCTGAATTTTACTTACTTGTTTCCTTACCTAATGCCCTCCAGATATATTGGGATTATAATTCCATAACTCCCTACATATATGATGGGCACCAGTTTGGGAAAGACCATAACAATACTATTAGGAGATAGTTATATATCTCCACATAATCTCTCATTTAATCTTGAGTCCTGTTGAACTGATTTAAAATAAACATGCATGTGACCAGGCTAAGTAACTAACCAAAATTTATTTTTTTTATATATTTTTTATTTAAATTTAATTCATGGCTGTAGGCTGCTGTTTCTTTGCATGCAAAAGTTTGGCAGGTTACTGGGATTATAAATGCAATGCATAGAGTAATGAACACTAGAAAGCCAGCAGTGGGAGCACTGGAAGGCTTTAGCTAGTTTGTGTGATACAATCTCTTGGTTGTTACATCAGAATATACAGAAGCAAAAACAATTCAAAATAGAGGACAGAGCAGCCCTAAAAAACCTAAAGAGGGACCAAACCATTATCATCTTACCCTAGCACATAAACCAACTAAAGACCTCCAAAACATCTTAAGTAAAACAAAAGAAAAAAAAAACAGGTCACTTACAACACAGACTGTAAGTACTGTAACAACCACTATGAGAGACAGACAGGCAGAAGATTAGCAGAGCGTATCCATGAACCCACCCTAGCAGGTAAAAGAAAACAATGAAAACTCCTTAATTTCACAACACAGAGATGGACTCAATCAGATATAAGTGAGCTGGCTGTAAAGATCATTCATGGCATAGGAATTTCAGGGATCTTCCCATTCCCACTTTGAAAAAGAATCTGTGAAGGGATGGATGAATGGCAGTAATTTCAGTGCCACCAACTGTGTAAAAGTGGTCTTGGTATATTTTTTGAAAGGTGTCAATATTTTCCCTGGCAACTCCAGACAGTGAGAAAGCAGAGTGATGGTTGAACATCTGCCAACTCTCACTTTCAGACATTCTGTGAACAGACCATCTGTTCTAATGCCGAGAATATCAGCTCAGTTTTATTAAAGAAATAACTGAACTTTTTCCTGAGATGAAATTAGCCCAAGAAACTTTTATTGCATGAGTGGGTTTAAGTTACCAAATTTCATTAAACACATTTGCAGAGAAGCAGAGCTATAATTCTCTGTGATGCCTAAATATATATGTAATTGGTGCTTAAAATCTTTCACTCCAAAAGATTCCTTTGAGACAAGGATTCTAGAAGAGTGCGTTCATGTGAGAAGTAAGGATCTGCCCAAGGTTGGTTCTAGGCTTTATTGGGCCTCTGAAAAGCATTCTCCAGTAAATGTCTTGCTATGCATTGGATACTGATGAAGCTAAGCAATGATGCTGTTATCAGGAGAAATAACACTTTGACTGGCAGCCAGCCTTCCTATTTTACAGAGTGCTCTGACAGAATGTTCTTAAGACACAATGGAGAATTAAGAAGAGCTCATCAGAACATACAAAAGGGGTTAAAGGCCGGCCCTGCTGAATGTTGGAGATCATATTGTTTGAAGCCATTATATACCATGCTGTGCAAGTACATTTTTCATTCCCGTGAAATGATGATTGGTCTCCCATTCATATTATGAACTTTTCATTGGATGTACACAAGCCAACTGCTGCATGAACCTGTCCAGTTGGCAGTATTTGCTTTTGCTAGTTAGAATATGTGAGCAGTGTCCTTTTTGTAAAGAGTAACTTGAACAAAGAAAGCAAAGAGTTAACACAACTTAGAAATCCTTGGTTGAACATGCCAGAGAACTATTAATATTTAAATGTGATTCAAGAGCATGATGACTGGATCTGGGGCTAAGAAAAAAAATAAAGCAGATTGTAATTTAGAGAGTGAGTGAGCGAGATGGGGACATACTTCATCATCATCAAGTCTGTTTTAGCCAAATCTAAAATTATTTTTGGTGAATGTTATTTATTCAATGAATAGACGATAAAGAATTTAACTTTTTGCACTTTATTTTGAGAACTGTCTGATGGATATCAAAACAGTTCCTTTTAGATAGATGCTCTCAGGGTGGAAAGCCTGTTTGTGGGAACAACTCATCATTGCATTCATCTGCTGCATCAAGAAGTGTTCTGACTTTTCCAGGATGAGAATGAACAATAGACATGATTAAAGAAAAAAAAGAGAGATAAAACACACTACAACAGCAATGAGTGATATTGTGATATTAAGTACAGTTCAAGCAAAAACAAGATTTAAAGTATGTAAATGCAGTGCTGAATACTTCTTCATAGAATTCTTTAAATAGTTTCCCAAGGTGTGGGGCTCACTTTGCAGGTGTTTTGGGGAGCCTGCATGTACAGCAGTCTCACTTCTGCAGATCACCATGGACAGCTATGGGAATGATGGAGAATGATGGTAGTCAAGTGAGGATGAACATCCCTCCAAAGTTCACCCTGTCTGGTTCTGAATTCAAAGTGGTTACCCTTACAAATATTCAAAATCTCAAAGTCAATTTATATAGAGAAAAGGGTAACATCACAATGAGAAAAAGACATACTAGTTGTTATACACAGCAGCAAGGAAGAGAACTAGAAAATGTATTAGGAAAGAAGGTTATAACTTAAACGGATGCAATACTTTCACAATTGCTGGAAATAAAGAGTGCATATCTCTGCTTGTCAGTCAGGCAATCAGCCTTATTTGGTAGTGAGAGCCATTGATGATGGAGGCTTATTCCTATGTATATCCATGTACCATAGTGGACTTTGTAATCCCTATACCCATTATGTTTCCATTCTTACTTAACAGATGTAATTTAAAAATAATTAATCTAGACTAGAATTTAGGTTCAAATTTAGAGCTCACGAGCACTCTACTGGACCATACTGTCTTTATACTTACTTGATCACACACTGAAAAGACTATTCTAGAATTGTCACTCATGAATTAGCAAATACTATAGTTGCCTTGTGTAAAATGAAAAGTTATTTATCTGATGTGGCTAAAATAAAACTCTGATTCCCCTCTACTTTCCTATTTTTCACAGGTCCATGATCGACTGGATCGATATTGCTGTGGTTTTCAGCCAGATTTCTCTGAGCCTTGTGTTCAGGAGTTGCTCCATGAGAAGTGCCGAAATCCTGCAGAGCTGTTTTTGGTCCATATTTTGGTATGCCCAATTACTGTTGAAGCCAAGGGATTTACAGAATAGCCAACTTATACATAGTTGTGCCCAGCCAGTTAGTAAGATGTCAAAACAAATGTCTGGGATGAAAAAGATAATAAAGAATGAAATTACAAGTTTGGAACAGCATACACACACATACACACATATTTGTATTTGTAATTTGAAGAACTGTGTGTGTGTGTGTGTGTGTGAGAGAGAGAGAGAGAGAGAGAGAGAGAGAGATGTGATGTGATGTGATGTATCAGTTTTAAAAACTAGGAACCAACTAGAGTACCTCCTAAGGAACTAGGTAAGCAGTATACAAATACACACACACACACTCACACACACACACACACACACACACCAGTGTTACAGTAGCTACAATAGAGTACTGATCTAAGAAATTAATAATCATCTATATATGTGTATAACACTGTGTATACTGAAAATGGGTCCTAATCTGGCGCCAAAGCCAATAAAGACCACTAGATACGAGGAATGGCTTTTTCAGCTTCTTTATTGGAGTACTCCAGTAAAAGCATCCAGCAGCTAAACGAGCCAAGAGCTCGAACAATGCACAAGCACAAATTTTATACAGTTATGATTAAGAAAGTTAACACTCTAACAATCACACATTGGTTCCTTGACACATTTTCTTTTGATTGGATTCTTCTACTTTACCTTCCTTCTTCATACATGACATGTTGATGTTTTGTCTTTTACTATTATAATAAGCTAGAGGTTACCAAAGTTTATATATCTATGTGCCTTCTAATCATCCTTCTAATGTGTCCTTCTGACTAGTAACTTTCTTGTTGCTAGGCAGTAGTGTCCCACTCATAGCAGCTGCAACTTTCTGTGTCAGTAATTCCTTTAACAAACTTTCCTAATTCCAATCTGAGTCCTTCAGTATAAACTGGGAAGTACCTAAGGCAGTGGTGGCGAACCTATGGCACACGTGCCAGAGGCGGTACTCGGAGATCTCTCTGTGGTCACACGTGCTATTGCCCCAGCCTTGCCTCCTCCCATAACCCCCTCCTCACCAGCAGTCCCCCTGGAGGAGAGTCGCCCCCGAGCATGTCCCACGTGGAGCAGCGCAGCCAAGGACATGGCAATCAGGCAGCGTAGACAACACTCTGCCCTCACACCCCATCGCGCACAGTTGATGCTGCAAGGCGCGGGCAGAAGGCATGGCCACATTGGTGCTGCTGGGCTGTCTGGGCAATCTGCAGTGGGCCCTGGAGGCGGTGAGTGGCCCTACGGGTAGGCGGGATGGGGGCGGGGCAGGGGGTGGAACGGAGGCGGGGTGTTGTTGGGTACTCAGTCTCTAAAAGATTCGCCATCACTGACCTAAGATGATCCTTCCCCAGGCATTAAAGGCTTTCTACCTTGCCAGGGAAGGGGGAAAAAACTTACTTTACAACTTTACTGCTTACCCAATTCCTTAGGAGGGCACTCAAGCTAGTTATAGTTTTTAAAATCCATTCATCATTTAAACTGTAACCTCAGTGATTTAACTGGAACTTTCACAGAAGAGTTTCCTAGAGGATTGAACTCATAAATACCTTGTGATGATTTCTGACTCAGAAGCCTCAAATCAACACCGTTTTTAGAGGAGGCTCCCTTCTTTTCTACAGACATCTATTTTTCATGTTTCCTCCTAATTGGGCTGAGAATATGCAATTGATCTGATATACAGTAAACTATCATATAATAGATATTATTATTATTATTATTATTATCTATTATATGACATTTTACTGTATATCAGATGTACTGGTTTGTACAAAGGAAAATGCTTGAGGGCCTGGAAGATTTTGGATCTGTAACTTTCTCCATGGAATGGCTTCCTTTTTATCTCTTTTATCCACTCTCAGTGGGGTACTAAATAAATTCCTGCAGTGTTAGAATCATTAAACATTGCAGAATATTGAATAGCAAATTTAAAACATCAGGGGCCTTCTGGAGGAAGGTTAGGGTTCCTTAAAAAGTCTAAGCAATAGTGGTTGTCAAATCCACAGTACTGTCAAATATTAGTAGTCCAACATCTATTTTAAATGAAAATCAAGAAGCTGGAAGCAATACACTTTGAGACAACTCTTCTGTCATCTTAGCTTTGAAAATACCACCCAACTACAGTCATGACTGAAACTCTTGGCATGTATTTTTATAATCCTAATTAAGTTTGAATGTTGGTTTGATATGCTGTATGCTTACTTTCTCCTGAATTTTCTTTTTCTTGCAATATTGTAGAATATGTAACCCTAAATATGATGAGCAGCAAGGCAAACACTCCAAAATTTCATCAAACATTACATTAGTCCATTCACATCATTACTCTGTCCTCAGTTAATTGCCAGGTTGACTTTTTTTTCCCCTTCTTCCAGGTGCGGAGAAGCAAGCCTTCTCATTTAGTGTTTATTGACAATGCAGGAAGACCTTTCCACCCTGAAGCAAAACTTAATTTCAGACTCCTGCAAGGCATAGATGGGTAAGGCGGATAATAGAGTATATGAACTAACAGAATGTCAGTTTGATGGGGTACGGATGCTAAATAACATTTCTAAAAAAGAGGGAAACTTCACAGTGTTTCTCAACCTTGACAATTTTAAGGCATATGGCCTTCAACTCCCAGAATTCCACAGTCAGCAATGCTGGCTGTGGAATTCTGAGAGTTGAAGTCCACATGCCTTAAAATTGTCAAGGTTGAGAAACACTGGTAGAGTGATGGTTTTAATCAGTTTACCTTTCTGTTGTATCCTGTAATGTCCTGGAAATTAGCTTTGATTGGAACCCTTAAAATAATGTATAAAGGGAGAGAAACTGGACAAAATCACTTGGACCTATATTGCAGAGTGAATCTCCATTGGATTCTGGTCTCTCTACTAGTACAATTTAAAAACTCTTTCATTTGTAGAAAAAGTCTAATCTGTTTTTATTGAAGACTAAATAGTGAGGGAGAAAAGATAACCTACCAGCCTTTTTGTCCGAAATTTTTTTTTTCATGTTGCTTTCTTTGAGTCAAGCTTGACATGATATCAAATGTTCAGTGGCATTTCATATGTCTAGTATTTTTTAAATTACCATTCTGGGTTTCTTCTTCCCAGCTAGGTGAGAAGGCTGTTAAATCCAATAACATTGTCTGCTAAGTGATTCCAGGATATAAAATTTGGTTACAATGAAAACAATGATAGCACAATGATGCTGTTTATTTATATGTTTGTTTGTTTATCACATTTAGAAACTACCCATCACTTTCATAAAGCAATTCTAGGTGGTGTACCGATAGCCATAAAAACATAAAAGATATAAATGAATATTGTAAAAAGTTAAAGCAGTAAAAAGTTAACACTGAAAAGGTGGGGGGGAGAGACTTTAAAGGGTTAACCAGCCTCATGGCTGTGTGCTCTTCTATGGACCCTAAGCGAGTCAACAGTTGTTTACTGCAATTGTATATATGTCTTCCCAAAAGAAAACTTGTGTTACAAAAAAACCATATAGGATTGCAGACTTTAAGGCACAAAATTTTCTGTGCCATATAGTTTTATGAACTACAACTCTTTTCTGTAGATGAATTGAATTATAATCCTTGATAATTTATGAATGTCATTAAGACTAAATTTTAATTTAATTTTAATCAACACCATGTCCTTTTCAAGTGTTGTGAATCTACATATTTAAAAGGTAGAGGTGTTATTCTGTTAAGTTTCTGGAAAAAAAATGCCCTTTCTATTTATATTCTTCTCAGGTTTCCTCGGAAAGCTATAACAATACTCCAATCAGGATGCCTACAAAACCTGCTTTTGCAATCCTTGCATGTAGATAAAGAATTCTGGGGAAGTCAAGGGGGATATGAAGGTCTGAAGCATTGGCTTAATACCATTGACCGGAGAGGCCAGGCTCTTCTTCAGTACATTAAAGAACATAATTTGACCATCACTGAAGATTCCTTGGATTAGGTTTTGATGACACATATTATACATCTATCTGTTTTAGGAAAGAGCACTGAACTCTGGAAAGACCCAGTGCATTGGTGATGGGCAGACAGGCAGGCACTCTGCTAACTGCAGAACCTGTTCTATGTGAATTCAGAGAAATAAAATGGATGAAATAAAATTTAAAGGGTAGTGTGGCTGGATAATCATATACCAGAAGCAGAATGAAAATGTTATAATTGATATTAATACAGTCTCAACTGGATATCCTTGTGAGGAATTTCCATAATACATTTCCAAATAAAATGTCCCTCTATTTTCCCAATGAAAGTTGGTTTTATCATGATGGCATTCCAAAGCAAGATCAACCAGTGATCTCAGCCAGGAGAAATTGTTAGAAAGAAGGTATACAAGGTATTTTTGTTAACAGATAAAAAATTCTGATTTGACATGCATGGTCCATAGTGCTTTAATGATACAGAACTGGTTTTCCTAATCTATTGCCCTCCAGGTTTCAGGGTAGAGATTCTGAATTGTAATCCCAACATGATCTAGAATGTATCCTTTTGAGGGAGAGTAAATTAGAAGGAAGGGAGGGAATGGACCAGACATGATTATTTTGTTTCAAATTGCCTCAAAATCCAGAAACTCCATGTTTCTAATTTCATAGAGTGGAAAGGAAGTGGCTTAGTTAGAAGGAATCAGCAAATTTCAAAAGGATTCAGTTATCCTGGTTTGAGCCAGATAAAAATGCTGAATATTTCTAGAAGATGTGTTACCTGCCAGTGATGCTTCTTAAAAAGAAATGGATTTGATTGACTGCAAGGGCTGTAAAATGGATCAGCAACAAAAACTCACCAGGTCTTTCCATAATCATGTATTGTTGAACCTGCTCCATTTGTAAGCATGTCCTGGATTCCAAAATGTCTCAGCATCAGGTCATTTTGTACAGCAGGCTGGCACCTTAATTGTTTGTCCATTCCAGCAACTCACAGCTTTGAAAAGCTCCATCTTAAAATTATTTCTGCTTTTCCTCAATCACAGTTGGTTGTCATGGAAATGATTAAGATGATTTGCCATGGAAGGCAGCCATCGGCAGCTAAAAAAAACCCTTTATGAAATAAATACCTTATTTTCATGTAAATCAGTTCTGCTTATGATTGGGGGAAGGTGAGAAAAGAAAAGCAGACACTGTCTGGGGTACTACTGCAGAAAATAGCATATTGTGATATTTTTGGTGTTTTTATTCTATTAAAAATCCCAGGCCACAACTCACTAGGCAAATGTCAGGTAAATAATTTCTCTCCCACTACCCTTCATATTCTTTATCAGACAAGACAATGAGACACAGACAGTATTGGTCTGAGAGAAATAATCCAGAATCCATTTTTGCATAGGTTTTCTATTAAAGCCTATTAAAATGAATGGACCAGTTTTCCAATTTGCCAGATCTCTTCATCATATTGTACAAAATCCTTTACAAAATGAGGTGGGCAAGATGCAGACAAGTTCAAAAAGTCAGTGCTTATCTGTAAGCTTAAAATGAAGACTCAGTATTAAAAACAGCAATTACAGTTAGAATTAATCTGTCACAATGAATAAGCTAATATCAATTTGGTCCCTAGCATATGGGACAAAATAATTTTGTGCTCTCAGGTTTTGAAAAGCAAGACTCAAAGAATGCCTTGAGAGAAACATGCTAATTCAGAAATTAAAAGAAAAACATCTGTCTTCATTTTAGCTAAGCCTAATATTCACTATATCATATTTTATTTTTCATTTTTATTGTATGCCTCTTATCTCATCTATAGATGACTTTGGGTGGCTTACAAAATTAAAAGCAGATAAACATTAAAACAATAACAATAATAATAATTTGAAAATAACAAAACCTGGCAATGGCTAAGAGCAGGAAAGTTGGGGAAAGAATCAGACATGCTAATGCTACCTGCACAAGACCAAACCTTAAGAACAAATGCATACAAATCCAAAAATGAGAAGTGCTACCTCTGCAAAGAAGCAGAGGAAACAGTGGATCACACCCAAAACAACTGGAGTACCACTGGAACATCATCAGCATGACAAAATCACCACCAAATTACAAAAGGCAGCTTTACTTGGAACAGCTTATATCCTGCAATGGTACCTTTAATACTATCAATGATATCCCAGTTCCTTGGGAAGGACTCAATACGTGGATAAAAGTCCAAATCCAGTTTGAACATCTGGCTGACTGTGTGATGAACCATAATAATAATTTTGCCCAATGGAAGTTTCCAAAAGCTTATATGCTTCCTGAGAGATTGAGAGATTCAATGTTTTTATTGGTTTATAGATTACAGGAGAGATATGTTGGAAAAACTCACTGTCATTTTTATTTGTTTTACTGCTTGTTCAGGCATTTCCAATTTAACGCTTCAAGAGGTTCTTTAAGTTCAAATGACTTCACGCAAAAGTAATAATAAATTAATTTCGTACATTTGTGCTTGCCCCTTCGATGCTCATTCAAGTGGCATTTAAGCTATGAGATTTAGAAGGAAATATTAGCTCTTCATTAAAGGGCCCTTTATGAGTCAAGTCATAAAGGAGCATTGGAGATTAAAGGGTGATTCATTAGCTGTTTCCAGCTATTAACTTAAATGGAAAATGTACTAGAATTTATCATCATGCTATATCACATTACTGAGAGGTAAATTTCCTAATTCTCTGTGTGGATATTAACATAATATTGTTCTGCCATGCAGGAGCATTTCTGAAAAGATAAAAAAAATAAAGCATGGTAAAAAGAGGTGTAAGAATTAATAGCAGTTCATAACTCCCAATTCCTCATGTATGTGATTCTAGTAATGCTGTTCCAATTAAGTGAAGATCCTCAAACTTGCCAAAGAAAAACAGTTTAAAAATTGTGGGACAAAAAGCCCATATCAACACCCTGGTCATTAAATGGCAGATCCCAAATTGGCACATGATATATATCACATGATTGCAGCATTAAGCTATCATGCAGTAAAGATAATTTCTGCCTAGTTTCAGTGCTTGGAATCTAAAAAATGCACAATTCTTCCACTGAATGCATGAATTTTGAAAGTGCCAATGTTGCACCGTGATATGCCTACTGCTGTTTATATTTTATGTGCACTTGTGTGAGGCAGAGGTTTTTTTAAAAAAAATCACCATTATAAGCAAGGAACCAAAAGGGGGGGGGAGGGCTCAGTAGCAAATAGTGAATGAGAAGCAAGAGAGAAAGAAGCAATCTCTGGTGGAAATATCAGGACCATTGCTTGGAGAAGGCAAGCTATGGAACAAGATGAAAATGGGGGACAGGGGGAATATTAACAGAGTAGACAGAGATAGTAGTAAATTTTTTCAAGCCATCCCCCAACATTGATTTAGCTCAGTGGTTCTCAACCTGTGGGTTGGGACCCCATTTGGGGTCGAATGACCATTTCATGGGGGTCGCCAAACAACGCAGTCCACCATTTTTTCCCCTTTTCCTTAGCTATGCTACTCCCTTTTATTCTATTGGCTTTTGAAAGCCAATAGAATAGACTCTCTTGAATAGAGTCTAATTCTATTGGCTTTCAAAAGCCAATAGGAATTGTCCAGGCTGTCTCTGCCCTGCTGAGCCCGCCAAAAGTCCCATTCTGCAAACGGTGCTGCACCAGTTGAGTAGTCCTTGACTTACGACCGGTTGAGTAGTCCTCGACTTATGACCGGTTGGGGGTCGCGGCATTAAAAAGGTTGAGAACCACTGATTTAGCTACTAAGATGTCATGGAATCTTTTGGAAGAAAATTCTCATTCATCACAGAAGGTACATAGAGAGATATTTCAGCTACTGAGAAAATTGCAAAGAAAATTGGAATTGGATATCCAATCTCTCCTTGCTCCCATAATAAGTTTCTGGCACTGTTATAGAGAAAACACATAAAAGACTATCTACTGTATGTTCTTATGAACTGCCAATAGTTAATATATAATAATATCTCAAAATATACATGCATGTCTCAACCATAGCAGAAATACAGGGACATAAAGAGCTACATTTATTTACAACAACTGAGTCATTTAGAATTATATTATTAATAATAAAGCTTTCCATATATTTTCCAGAGCTTCTGTTTATAGTCACAGTAATAATAGCTGATACTAATAGCACTTGTCTGATTGTATGTATTTATATTGTTTGGTAGCTGAGTCTCAAAAGACTCTCGTGAATATGTTATCTCATAGTAACAGTAAACCTAATGATGAAAGGATATAAATTAGTGTAATGTTCTATTTACAACCAACAAAGAAAAAGTTCCTACTGTGATGGATTTTCTTCATTAATAGGGAGACCACCTGAGGAAGAGCTTTTGAGTTCTTGGCTTTCAAATGGTTAGGCAAATAGTTATATCTATATCTATATCTATCTCTCTATCTCCCTATCTCTCTATCTCTCTATCTATCTATCTATCAGCTAACTCAAGATCATTGAACTGGGGATATTTTTTTCTCAGAGAGCTCAACACCTGATCATACACATAATCAAATGGAGATGGGGATACACATGTCACTAATTTTTTATTATTATTTAATTACTAAATAAAATCAGACCACCCATACAAATATGGAGACTTGGAAAAATATTACAAAAACCAGCCCCTCTCTCTTTTAGCCCAACCAAACAGGGTTGTTACCATGGGGATAAGATAAAGGGAGTGAAGGTTTAAAGTATTTGGATCCAAAGTGTCTTTCGCACTTTGGATATGAAAACTACACAAGTTAATAAATCACACTGAAGTTGCCTTGGACTTTTGGAGGAAAAGGAAGATATAAATAAATTAGTAGTCATTTATTTATTCATTAGATTTACATCTACTTTTCATACTGCAGTTCAAGGCAGCATACCGAACATTCTCTTGTATATTTCTCCACAATAAACACCTTATCAACTTGACCACTCAGGGTTTCAATTTAATTTAAAAAATAATATGCCAATATCAATCTAGCAATCTGATCTGAAACACTTGCATGGCAGATAACCTTCCTCCTATATGTGCTCTTTTTTCTATTTTACAGGTAGCTTATATGTGACAGTATTCCCAAATAATCCTTCATACCGTGTAACACATGATTCACACATTAAAAGTATACTGTCCTCATAGGAAGGAAGCCATGTTTGTTTGCAGTAGCAAAAAAATCAGTAGTCTGATGGAAACTTTTCTGACTAACAATTTTTATCAAAAGACATCAGCTTGTGTAGTGTGTTATGTCCTGAGCCTTGCAAGCGGGCTCGGGGCGTTGCAGGCGGTCCCGGGCAGGTGCAAGCTGCCCGGGACCAGACAGGCTGTCGCCAGTGCTTGTGCGCATGCGCAAGTGCTGGCGCGCGAAAAGTAACACATTGACCCGGGAAAGTCCTATAAAAGGAGGCTGCGAGTTGTGGGCTTTTGCCGCCATATTCCAATGTAAGCTGAACTGAAGAATAAAGGTTTCCTGAGAACTACAACTGCTTCTCGTGTCTTACCATTTCGCGACGGACTCAACACTGGCGACGAGGGTGGGATTGCCTTACATCGGAAAAGAGAAGGTGTAAGCTTACCCGAGTGAGTCCGGAGCGGCAGGAACGGCGTTGACTCGGCAGCTACCCGCCAATCCAGCGTGCATTCGGGGGTAGGCTGGCTGATAAACTCTTCCTGATACGAAATGGCGAAGATTGGAAGGCTTTCGGAATTCGACGTCTCACATCCAGAGAGGTGGGAGTCCTACGCAGCCAGGGTGGAAAACTACCTCAAGGTGAACTAGGTGAGGGAAGAGAGCTTGAAGGCTGCCACCCTGCTGTGCGTTTGCGGTCAAGACGCATTCGAAATCGCAGAGAACCTCGCAGCACCTGTTCCTTTAGAGTCTGTCAGCTACGCAGATCTAAAGAAATTATTGAAGGAGCACTTCCAACCTAAGATGTCCGTCATCGCGTGGTGCCACACCTTCGAGCAGAGGGATCAACAACCCGGAGAATCGGCCAAGGAGTACATCACTGCACTGAGGAAAGCCGCCAAACATTGCGAGTTCAAGGACCTCGAAGAACGATTGAGGGACCGGTTTGTATGCGGGCTAAGGCATCAAGAGTTGCAACAGAGACTTTTCGCCAAGGAGGACTTGTCTTTCCAAGATGCCTTGAGAGAGGTCACCGCAGAAGAAGCAGCGGGCGGCGCCATCAAGAACATGTGGCTGATCAGAAACAGTCCAGATGCTGCATCTGTGCACCAGGAAGAAGTCCAAAGAAACTCCGAGGAGGATCCGGACGAGGAAGTGGACCGTCTCCACCCCACAATGGAAGGAAAACCAAGAGGAAGCTCTTCAGCGCTCCCCAAGTGCATCGGTTGTGGAGGTCGCCACAAGAGAGCCGACTGCAAGTTCCGCTCCGCTATCTGCTGGGCGTGCGGAAAACAAGGACACATTGCAGCTGTGTGCCTGGGCCGTCAGAAGGTACAACCTCAGGAAGAATTGCGCCTGAAAGGTACCAGGGTCCCCAGCCAGAATAGGGTGGGGTTTTGCGCTTCGCGAAGAAGCATCTACAGGACAGGCACACACAAGCCCATTAAGAAAAAGCTGTCACTTAAAGTGAAGCTACAAGGGGTTCCATTAACTATGGAACTGGACACGGGGTCTGCACTTTCGATCATTTCTATGCACACTTTTAGGAAGATCTGTTCCGGTAGTGGAACTCAGGCCAAGCTGAGGCCTTCTGATATTGTGTTAACAGACTTTCAAAACTCCAGAGTGTGTGTTAAGGGGGAGGCCACCCTTAATGTACAGTATAAGGATTTTGAAGGTCCACTAGACATATTAGTAGTAGGGGGTGAACGAACGAGTCTCATAGGACTCGATTGGTTTGAGGCCTTGGGAATACACGTCACAGGGCTCAACAGCCTACAAACACTCGACATACAGGAAGTCTGCAAAGAATTTGCAGATGTTTTCAGCCCCCAGCTGGGCACATTCAAAGGACCTCCTGTGTCCTTAAAGCTAGACCCCATGGTCACTCCCATTAGAATTAAAGCAAGAAGGGTCCCTTTTGCTTTAAAGAGTAAAATTGACACTGAATTGGATAAACTGATCCAACAAGGAATTCTAGAACCAGTTGACTCCAGTCCATGGGAGACCCCCATTGTCACGCCTCTTAAGGCAAATGGGGACATTCGCATCTGTGCTGATTACAAATGCACTCTAAATAAGGCATTGCAGCAACATGCCTATCCTGTTCCTGTGGTCAGTCATATCCTGGCCTCCCTCAAGGGGGGGCGCGTTTTTGCAAAGCTTGACCTAGCTCAAGCATATCAACAGCTGCCTGTTGATGATGACGCTGCTATAGCTCAGACTATTGTGACCCACAGAGGGGCTTTCAAGGTAAAGAGACTTCAATTTGGAGTAAATGTCGCTCCTGGGATTTTCCAAAGCGTAATGGAAAACACACTACGGGGTATACCAGGGGTTTGCCCCTATTTTGATGATGTCTTAATTGCAGGAGACTCCACACACATTCTAGCTGAAAGGCTAAGGGCTGTCCTATTAAGGTTCAGGAAAACGGGACTCAAACTCAAGAAGGACAAATGTAAAATTGGGGTGCCTTCTACTGAGTTTCTGGGGTTCAAAATTGATGCTGCTGGGATTCATCCTGCTGAATCCAAACTAAAAGCCATTATGCAAGCCCCTAGGCCAAAGTCTAAGGCCGAACTACAGGCTTTTCTGGGCCTTCTGAATTTCTACAATTCCTTTCTTCCACACAAGGCTAGTGTAGCTGAGCCTCTTCACAGGCTATTAGATAAACAGGCAGTATGGCAGTGGTCACAAACTCATGAGGCTAGTTTCAATGAGGTCAAGGCCTTGCTCACTTCTAACAGTGTACTTGCTCACTTCAATGAATCCCTTCCTGTGTGCATCGCTTGTGATGCTTCCCCTTATGGGGTGGGTGCTGTACTGAGCCACCTCAGGGCTGATGGAACTCAGGTTCCTGTTGGATATTACTCCAGAACATTGTCTTCAGCTGAGCGCAATTATGCTCAAATAGACAGGGAGGCCTTAGCTGTTGTTGCTGGAATTAAAAAATTCCATGATTTTTTATATGATAGGCATTTCACGGTCTTCACTGA